TTCCTGCCCAAAAATAGCCCTGGAGCTTGGAGAGGGTGGGGTTGGGGAGGGGAGGGACTTCAGTGGGGTATAATGCCATGGAGTCCACCCCTTAGCGTTGCCAGCCTCCAGGTGGTGGCTGGAGATCTCCTGCTATTGCAATTGTTCTCCAGGTGACAGAGAGCAGTTCACCTGGAGAAAAGGACCACTTGGGAAGGTGTAGACCTTTTTTTTACATCAGTATAGGAAGCAGAAATTGAACCACTGCTGCCTTTCCCAAGTGTGGAGTTGAAGGGATTGGGAAGGCTGAACTTGCAGCATTTCTACCTGCCGTGTAGCTCTTAAAAGAGCAGGAACAGTGTTGAGCTGAAAGGTCTTTTAAAAATGTTCAGGGGTTTATGAAATTTCCCCTCCCTGTATCGCTGCTACCATTGTCTGTTTTGGTCCTGGGGGTGATGGCGACAGTGCTGTCTGCTGCTGCTGGGAGCCGTTTTGTTCTTCTGTTTTCTTGTACCCACTCCTTGTCTGTCCTCACTCAGAAGTGGCTTTGGATGCTATCGCATAGCTGCATCTCCTTGGCTTCTCGACAGCCAATTGGAGCGGTGTCAGGCATCTTGAGGATAAAGTGACAGGGGAAAGCGTGGTACCCAGCTACCACCAATAAGAGTGATGAACCATCACTATTTTCATGACTGTCCAAATCACTGAAATGTCCCCCCCCCCAACTTTGCAGCCTGAAATCAGTGTGGTGGGACTGAAGGATGGGGGAACATTTTGATTCATGGGAACCCAACGAGATGGAGGGAGGATTAGTGGCACCTCTCATTAACAGGGACTTGTGGCACTCAGTGAAATTAATCGTGGGCACTCAATGAAATTGCTGAGCGGTCGGGTTAGAACGGATAAGAGGAAGTACTTCTTCACCCAAAGAGTGATTAACACTTGGAATTCACTGCCACAGGAGGTGGCGGCGGCTACAAGCATGGACGGCTTCAAAAGGGAGTTAGATAAGCATATGGAGCAGAGGTCCATCAGTGGCTATTAGCCACAAGGTATAGATAGGGGCTCTGGGGCAAGTGATGCTCTGTCATCTTGGTGCTTGGGGGGGTCAACAGTGGGAGGGCTTCTTTGGCGCAAACCCTACCCTCCCAACCTGAAGATGTGGTTCAGAAAACTGTGGGAGACATACTTGATGGACAATATCTCTGACAAAATTAACAAATCCCTATTGAAACCAGTCAAAACAAATTTTGATAGCAAATGATTCCCGATATTAGAATTTATATCACGGCATGAATTCATATCACCAGATTGGAAACAATTGCAGAAATGGCTCTAAACACTGACCCTCTCAAAAAGTGTACCATATTGTATTCCTATTGCTTTAATAATTTCTCTCTCCCTTAATGATATGAGTTACCATTTTTTATGACATTTTAATGTATTATAAGTAGCACTAAAGAAGAAATCTGGGACTCCGGTCCACATGGAAATACACTGTCGATTGATTGTTCATAGGTAGTTTTGTTAAACTGCTGAATTTCATTACGCTTTATCCTAGTTGTACTATATTGCACCATAAAATGCAAAATGTTTTGCATTGATGTGTCACTTTAATGTTTACACAACTTACAATAAAAATTACCCAAAAAAAACCAACAGTGGGAGGGCTTCTAATGTCCTGGCCCCACTGGTGGACCTCCTGATGGCACTGGTATTTTTGGCCACTGTGTGATACAGAGTGTTGGACTGGATGGGCCTTTGTCCTGATCCAACATTGGCGTCTCGTATGTTCTCTTATGTTCTTATGAATTGGGCTGTTGAGCTTGGTTGTGTTTGACTAAACCATGCACTCTTTTTGATCATCCGTTTTCGCCTCCCCAATTATTTCACTTTGCAGAATGTACGAAAGGGAAATACGGGGTGAACTGTCTGAAGGCCTGTTCCTGTAATGGCTCACCGTGTGACCGGGTCACAGGGAAGTGCCAGTGTGCGGCTGGGAAGACTGGAGTGGATTGTGGCCAGGGTGAGTCTCAAAACATCTGGCTGTCAACAGCTGCCCAGCAGACAGAAATAAACACAGTTTCCCCTAGCATGGAAGTGAGCACCAACTGTCAATTCCTTTCCATGGTGTAGCTTTTGAGGCTGAAGTTCTCAAATTATATAGCTCCCTCACAGGTAGATCAGGAGGTTAGGAGGTGGAAATGGCCGTGAAAAAACAACCCTATTGCTCGACAGTGCTATATATTGTACTGCATGGTGTAGGCCAGAGGTGTCGAACTCTTTTGTTACGAGGGCTGGATCTGACATAAATGTCACTTCCTTGGGCTGGGCCATGTGTGCCATAAAACATAATGCCAGGTACCGGTGATATAAACTGTATAAAGGACAACAGCTGGTACGCTCTGAGTTGGTGTATCCCAGGGGTCTTGTTGTAGAAAAAGAGCTGCCGGAGCTCATTAGCATAACTCATTAGCATAACTTATTTGCATATGCCACGCCCCCTGACATCACCGGAAGTGACAGAAGGCCACACCCCCTGACATCACCGGAAGTGTGTCAGAAGGCCCGGCTACTTACCCTCCTGCTTCATCCTCATTCCCAAACGGAATGAGGATCGAAGCAGAGGGCGGGGTAAAGAAGGGGGCGGGGCTTCACCACGTGACGGCCCCGCCCCCTAGAGGTTCTCTTCCGGAGCTCCGTACCTGAGAGCTCCCCCCCGACTAGAGCCCTGGTGTATCCTCACTGCAATGCCGCATGGGCTGGGAGGGGTGTGCAAAGGAAATCCCACATGGGTGGACTGGAGAGCCAGCTGTGCAGCACTAGGCAGATGCTCCCACGCTGCTTGACTGCTGCAGACGAGGTTGTTCTGCTGTGTTGAAGCCACAATTGCAATAGCTCCACCCACTCCCCCCCAAACGGTTTCCTGTTCTCCCTCCCTTCACTAGTTGCTTGCGGGCCGCATAAGAGCCCTAATTGGTCCCCGATACTGGACAAAATTGATATAGATAAGTTCGACTGGGAGACTATATCACAAGCTAAATACCAAATTTTGCAATTCTTTTAAAATCAAGAACCATCTGGAATATCCATCGTCGTAGAATGCACAAATCTAGTAAATTTCTGAATATTTTTAAATTGAACCTTTTATAATCTTAAAACAAAAAGTACAATACCTAATCCATTGTAACCTAATACACCAAAAGTAACCGTATACAACCTGTTTAAAATGTACTTACCTTGTTGTTCTGTAACCGATTTGATCCTTATTCAAAAACTCGTCTGTTCTCTGTTACCTTGATAAAACCAATAAAATTGTTTCATTAAAAAAAAAAAAAGAGCCCTGGATGGGCCGTTCCGGCCCCCAGGCCATATATTTGACATCCCTGGGTTAGGTTGTTGGACAGGGATCCAGGAGACCCATGTTTAAATCCCGACTCTGCTGTGGACGTTTGTTGGGTGACCTTGGGCCAGTTGCACACTACCGTCCTAACCTATTCCACAGGGTGGTTGTGAGGATCAAACAGAAGGCAGAAAACAGTGTCTTTGCCTGCTGCTGGAAAATCCAAAGACATGGCACCAGGGGAAGAGGGAATACTGTCTCACTGCTGTGTGGGGATCACATCCACTGTGCAAGTTCTGTGTGAGCAAAGGAGCTGCCTCAATGGAAGCTGGAAAGGCAGATAACAGTGCTTGAATGACTGGACTGCATGGGTCCCTGGGTTCCTTTGGCTACTTACTTTTTAAAAATAAAAACCAAAAACCATCTCTGGCTGATTAGGCAGTTGGTTCTCTTCCTCGACCACGACGACTTGGCAACAGTGATCCACGCGATGGTCACCTCGAGACTAGACTACTGTAATGCTCTCTACATGGGGCTGCCCTTGTCACAAATCCAGAAGCTGCAGCTAGTGCAAAATGCAGCGGCCAGGCTTCTGATGGGTCTCCCTATGCGGGAGCACATCCAGCCTGTGCTAAAGGCATTACCAGAGGTCATTTCGGGGGGGAACGCAGGGGAACGCAGTTCCCCCAAGTGAGGTGCAGGGGGCGGGGCACATGATGAAGCCCCACCCCCTGCTTCTGGCCACCCCACTTCTAGCCGTCATTCAGCCAGGAGGAGGCAGGAGAAGAGGGAGGGTAAGTTGCTTCCTCCCCGCCTCTCCCCACCCCTGCCTGCCTGGCCTTGCAGGTCCACTGCCGGGCCCCTGATGTCAGGGGGTGTGGCATATGCTAATGAGTTATGCTAATGAGTTCCCCTAGCTCTTTTTCTACGAAATGACCCCTGGGCATTACATTGGCTGCCGATAGCATTCCGAGTTCTCTTCAAGGTGCTGGTTCTTACCTTTAAAGCCCTATATGGTCAGGGGCTGACGTACCTGAGGGACTGCCTTTCCCCATGTGTACCCCAGCGGGCACGGTGTTCAGGGTGACAAAATCAATTGACCCTCCCGGGCCCCAAAGATGTCAGACTGGCAACAGCCAGGGCCAGGCCCTTCTCGGTGGCAGCTCTGTACTGGTGGAATGAACTCCCAGAAGAGATCAGGGTCCTGTGGGACCTTCTACAGTTCCACAGGGCCTGCAAGACGGAGCTCTTCCACCAGGCTTTTGGCTAAGGAGCCACTATCGCCACTAACAACAACATAATCACTAAAGAAAGACAGAGCCCTGTGCCCGACTCCACCACTACAGCCTGTGCCAGCCGCATATATATGATCAAGATCGAGAAGCTGATGAACAAAGCAGGCCAGAGACCGTATTAACATAACTGCTGCTGCCATCCCTAATGTACTTGTTTACAACCGGCTAGCACTTTATGTTAATGGATTGTTTTTAGATGGTTTTATTCAGGGGGGGTTTTGTAGAAAAAGCCCAGCAGGAACTCATTAGCATATTAGGCCACACCCCTGACAGCACAACTCATTAGCATATTAGGCCACACCCCCATGTCACCAGAAGTGTGGTCATCCAGCCACACCCACCTTTTGCTCCTTATTCTGTTTACCTTGTTTGTTGTCAAAACCCAGGGCTTTTTTTTTGGAGCAGGAACTCCTTTGCATGTTAGGCCACACACCCCTAATTGTAGCCAATCCTAATGAGTTCCTGCTTTTGGGTGTGGCCTATTATGCTAATGAGTTCCTGCTGGGTGCGGCCAACTCAAGAGCCAGCCGGAACTCCGTTTCTGTGCGTTCCTGCCCAAAAATAGCCCTGGTTTTATTTATGTCATAATTGTTCTTATGTTTTATCTTTTGTAAGCCACCCTGAGCCTGCTTTGGCGGGCAGGGCGGGGTATAAATCGAATAAATAAATGAATAAAGAATTTTTTACAAATAAAAAATTGCTAGAAGGAGCCATGATTTGGACAGGATTCATCAAGGCCTCCCTGCTTTGCCCACCCTCCCCACATGACCCGATCACTAGCAGGAGGAGAGCCAGAAGTCACTGCTGAGCTGGATCTCTAGCATTGCTCTCTCTCTCTCTCTCTCTCTCTCTCTCTGGTTCAGATTGCCCTGAAGGCCGCTGGGGACAGGGATGCCAGGAAATCTGCCCAGAGTGTGCAAATAAAGGTCTCTGTGACCCTGCCACAGGTGTTTGCAAGTGCCGTCCCGGATACACAGGCAGCCACTGCCAAGACGGTAAGTCCTTTTGTCGCGTTTTAAACCGCGAGCTCTTTGGGGCAGGGTCTCACACAGCGCCATGCTAGGGTTGCCAAGTCCATCTTCCACCCCCAGCGGGGGACTTTGGGGGCGTTCCTGGAGGGGGCGGGGCATCCCCGATGTGATGATGTCACGTTGGGGACATCCACACCCCCCCCGCCCGTGCGCCAGATCTCCAGAAACGGCAGTTCCCAGCACTTAAAGGAGCCGGCATTTCCCTTTTAAATGCAGGAGCCGGCGTTTCCCCTTTAAGAGCAGCCGCGTTTCCATTTTAAGAGCACGAAGCTGGCATTTTCCGGCAAGCTTGCGGAGATTGGTCTTGGGAGGAAACACGGGTTCCGCACACTTAAAGGGAGAGAGGTGGGTGGCTGTGGGCAATGTTCCCTCTAAGCTGTGAAGTCCTGTGAGCAAAAATTCTACTTTGTGAGCTACTGGCAATACAGTTGTGAGCAAGTAATTTGGCTGCTGCATAAATTAGTTTGCTTTGGAGCCATCCCTCCTGAGCTAAGATAAAAATGTGTGAGCTGGAGGATAAAAAACAGTGAGCTAGCTCACACTAACTCAGCTTAGAGGGAACAGTGGCTGTGGGTGTTGGGGGCGGGGCTTCCCCCGCTGGCCATCTGGCCGGCGGCGGGTAGAACCCCAAAAACGGGGGACCCCTGGCAAACCGGGGGATTTGGCAACCCTACGCCATGCACAGGGATGGAGGTGGTAATAAATGGCTTCATGTTACCTCCCTTTGCAGTGTGTCCCCCTGGCTGGTTTGGGCAGGACTGCCAAATGCGCTGCAACTGTGGGAACGAAGGCCACTGTCACCCAGAGTCGGGGAGATGCAGCTGTGCCCCGGGCTGGACTGGCTACAGCTGCCAAAGAGGTAGTGTGCACTCTCTCTTTCTCTCTCCCACTCTCTCTCACTCATGCAAAGGCCATCCCCACTCACCTAAGGACGGTTTGCATCGTGGCGCTCTGCCAAAGAGCTTTTCTCTTTGAGCAACGGAACTCTCCTCCCTCCTCCGTTGACTTCTGCAACACGGTCCTCCTTTTCAGCCTGCGACGTTGGCCACTGGGGTCCCGATTGCGCTAACCCTTGCGACTGCAGCAACAGCGATGGGAATTGCAATGCCGTGACGGGACAGTGTGTCTGTGAAGCCGGCTACACAGGAGCTCGTTGCGATCAGAGTGAGTGTGTCCTTCCGGTCTTTCCCATCGATCATTCTGTGGAGCCCGCCGTGCACCAAGTGTGCAACTGATGTAAAGGTTGTCATTGCCCGCCCAACACAGAGGGCGAGGCTGGGACCCTTCGTGAGGAAACAGTTCCCAAATAGGGGAACCAGCACACCCACAAAAAAGCCCTAATGAAAAACTTGGAGTCACAATAGGCTTGCCAGTCCACAGGTGGGAATGGGGAATCCCCTGTTTTTGTGGGCTCTGGCTGGTGGGGGGAACCCCGCCCTCAAACAGGTGTCCCTGTGTGTCATCGGCAACGTGCTGACCTCACTTCTGGAAGTGACATCATCACCTTGGCAACGTCGGGGGCAACACTCCACTTTTGGGGCAAAGCTCTATGGTTTGTAGCCACTTTTACCATAGAGTTTTGCCCAGAAAGTAGAGCGTCACCCTGACATCACTGATGCAATGATGTCACTTCTGGAAGTGAAGAGAAGAGAAGAGAAGAGATTGGATTCATACCCCGCCCTTCACTACCCAAAGGAGTCTCAGAGCGGCTTACTATCTTCTTCCCCTTCCCCACAACAGACACCCTGCGAGGTAGGTGGGGCTGAGAGAGCTCTCCCGAGAAGTGCCTTTGAGAGAACAGCTCTGAGAGCAGCCCTGCTTTGGAGGTCCGATTTCCGCCGGGGCGGAATCGGGCCCCGGGGAGAACCCCGCCCCCGAAGCTGCGTCACCAGAGCGTCTGCTCGCTCTGGGAGCTGGCCGCGGACGTGCGCGCCGCCAGAACATCACCGGAAGTGACGCACGACGTAGGGCACGTTGGGGGCGTGGCCCAGATCATCGGGGGGGAAACCATATGGTTTCCCCCCCGATGATCTGGGCCACGCCCCCAACGTGCCCTACGTCGTGCGTCACTTCCGGTGATGTTCTGGCGGCGCGCACGTCCGCGGCCAGCTCCCAGAGCGAGCAGACGCTCCCCCGCCGGTGAGTAAATAAGACTTGGCAACCCTACCCTGGAATGCCCTCCCAAATCTCCCTGTCAGCAGGAGGAAGGCACCTAGCAACCCTAAGTCACAAGCTTAGCATCAGAAGGCCTCCAGTGCAGGCCCTCGCCCAGCGGACCTTAATGTACAGGGACACAGGGCTGGTACCAGTGACCAGCACTTTGAGAAGCTGCCAAAGGCCCCAGGGCCCCAGAGCAGGGTGACAATCATTGCCTGGCAGACATCAACACCCTCCTTAGCTGTGCTTGACTTTGGGACCCACAGACACTGCCTCTTTCCTATGACCTTTCTTTCCCGTCCCTTTGTTTTCTCCCAAGAGTGCCCGGAAGGAAGCTTTGGCCCAAACTGCCGGCACCGGTGCCAGTGTGATAATGGAGCCGCCTGCGACCACGTGAGCGGGGCCTGTACTTGTGCTTCTGGCTGGAGGGGTACCTTTTGCGAGCGCCGTAAGTAACTTGAACTGTACGCTTTTCTGAATTGGGGCTTGAAGCCTCTGACTGCTCATATCCTGTATTTTTACTACCCAGTGAGGTGAGTTTTCTTTAGTTTCCACTGCTTGGCTGTAAATTGTCTTGCAGCAGCTGGTAAAGGAAAAGCCGGCCTGTGCCAGGTGTTACCCCACAAACATTTTAGTTGTGAAAATAGTGCTCTCTGGGGAGGGGCGTGTTTTCTGATTCTCCTCCTTTGCTCGTGTGTTTTGACATTTTCGGTCTGAACACAGTGATCTCTGGAGGGGGAGGAGCTCTCTCATCTCTCATTCCTTGCTCTCCTTTTTCATTGGCTGTTTTCTTCCTGCTCATTGCCCAGTTGGCAACTGCCTTGGTGCCATTTTTTCACGTTGCCTCTGCTTCTTCCTATGAATAAGTATTCTGGCCCGTCAGGGAACACGCACTGGACATCATAGCCAATTCAGGTTAAAGGACATGCTTCCTGCAAGAGAAAACCATCTCCCCTCCTTTTACTGTACCCCCAAACCACCAAAAAGAAGGGGATAATAGACACTTTCTTGAAAAGTGCCCTGCTTCAAAGCCAGTTCTCTATCCAGAACCCTTCAAATTAAAAATTTCGCTATAGGATTAAATTTTACTACAGGACCAAATGGCTCAGCACTCCCTGTATCTTCTGTCCGCTTTCCCGTCTTTCTGTTGCTTGCCTTCCTGTTGAAATTCAGGGGGTGAACTCCTTGGGGCGGGAATCTGTCTTTTTGGATATTTATTTTGTTTTACCACCAGTTTGGTGTAGTGGTTGAGTGCGCGGACTCTAATCTGGGAGCACCGGGTTTGATTCCCCACTCCTCCACTTGCACCTGGCTGGATGACCTTGGGCAAGCCGTAGTTCTGATAAGAGCTGTTCTTGAAAAAGAGCAGTTTCTGTCAGAGCTCTCTCGGCCCCACCCACCTCACAGGGCGTCTGTTGTGGGGAGGGGAAGGGAAAGGAGTCTGTAAGCCGCTCTGAGACTCCCTTGGGTAGTGAAGGGCGGGGTATAAATCCAATCTCCTCCTCTTCCTCCTCCTCCTCCTCCTCCTCCTCCTCTTCTTCTTTTTATTAGTGTTGTATTCCGCCCTCCCTGCATAGTGAGCTCGGGGCAGGTTCCACCAGATATAATATACAAACAGTCAAAAACTGCTACAATACATCAAAATAAAATACAATGAGAATTCCTATATATCTAACCAAAACCTCAGCAGATGGGGTCTATCACAAATTGGGATTCCAGATGTTATATTATTCTGCCAACTACCCATGGATAGTGCTGAAGGAGCAATAGTAGCAACTGTGGAGTTGGCATAGCGTCACGGTGAAGCGTGTGAGTCCCCCATTCAAATCTTACTTTAGTCCTGGGCTTACTGCGAGCCCTTCCTTACCGAGAGCCAACAAAGAAGGAGAGCCCTGGACTTACTGTGATTTTTTAAAAGGGCTTCAGAGACTCTAAAGGGAAACGTCTGAGTTATATGCCTGGCCTTTCTCCATCAGAAATCACTTTTACACGCCCTTGTGGGGTTCTTTTCCCCTCCCAGCCTGTCCAGACGGGTTTTACGGGGTGGAATGCCGGGAGACCTGCCAGTGCCTGAATGGAGCCCGCTGTGATCCCGTGACGGGGCGCTGCATCTGTCCTGCTGGCTGGATTGGCCCAAACTGCGACCAGAGTAAGTGATCTACGGCAAAGCCCTCTCCAAGCCAGAAGCCCTCTTGGCCCAGCCAACCCTTGGAGACAATGCGGCGAGCTACAGTCTTGCATTCAAGAGCTCCCTCTCATCTGTCTGCTTCCCCTGCAGCTTGCCAGCCTCACTGGTACGGGGAGAACTGCAGCCGCGAATGCAGCTGCTTCAACGGCGCCACCTGTGACCACGTCAGCGGGCAGTGCCTCTGTGCGCCTGGATGGACGGGAGCGGCCTGCAAGCAAGGTATCGGTGGCCAGTGCCTTGATCTCTCTTTTGTTAGACTGGCTTTCTGGTATTATTCCTCCAGCAGGACCTTTCTGTCCTGCTGGAACTCTGCCCTGAAAGCTTCAGGACACAACCGTTTAACTGCATGAAGGTGTCTTGCTCTAAGGGGCCGGTGGTAGGTTCAGGCCCATAGGCAGGATATTTTTTTTTGTTCGGGGAGTATTTAAATGTTTAACGGGCAGTTAAATTACAGTTAACTAAATTAACCTGAATGCCTGTCTTTAAAGGGAGAGCCTGCTTCTAGCTCTTCCTTTCAAGGGGCAGGGCAGCTGAGCACACCAGTTCCTAGGGGTGGAAGATGGACTTGGCAACCATACCCAGAGCTATCGCACCAGCACAGTCATTCTTCTTGACCCTTTCACACAACAACTGGGCTAAGAACGAGATCAAGGAAGTCACATGTTGCCCCCCTGCAGTGTAGCTCCAATCATGGGGAACACCCCCCCCCCCAAAGGGGGGCCCCCTGCCAACCCGGGGGGGGGGGCTGGCAACCCTAGCTCTAGGGCTATTGCAAGGGGTGCCCGGCTAGGGTTGCCAGCAAGCCTTGTGGAGGGTAGAATGCCACTGAGCCCAGCCTCCGAAGCAGCCATTTTCTCCAGGGGAACTGATCTCACTGGTCTGGAGATCACTTGTAATTCTGGGAGTTCTCCAAGTCTGACGTGGAGGCTGGCAATTCTGTGCCTGATGGGTGTCAGCAGGGGTCATTTCCTGCAGGAGCGCACAGGAGCAGAGCTCCGGCAGTAAAGAGCCCAGGGGGCGGGCACATGCGACAAGCCCCACCCCCTGCTCCCAGCAGCCCTCAGTCAGAGCAAGAAGCAGCCAGGTAAGTTGCAGAGCCCCCCCCTGCCCCCCCGGTCCAAAACAGTCCAGTGGCACCTTTAAGACCAAGTTTTATTCAGGTACAAGCTCTCCCTCCTCTGCGAGGACAGATCTGCACGTTCCCCCCCCCCCAATAGCTAGCAATCCAAAAGAGTCCAGTGAAGCCTGAGCGGTGGGTGTTGCCTTCTGACACACTTCCGGTGATGTCAGGGGGTGTGGCACATGCAAATAAGTTATGCTAATGAGTTATGCTAATGAGCTCCTGCACCTCTTTTTCTACGAAATGACCCCTGGGTGTCAGACTCCCGCAGCAATCATTTCCCAACATCTTTCATTCAAAGAAGTAAAGTTTATAGAGAGATTGAAAGTATGGAGATATCTTAACTAAATAAAAGCGTGGGTAGCCAGCAGATATACATGATTCAAGGAGACCCCCCTGATGGCCCAAGGCCAATCAGGAACGGATTACAACTCCCAGGAGAAAGACTACACCAGGCACCGAAGGTCACACAGAGATAACAGAAACACAGGAGATGGAGCAGAAATGAAAGTTAGCATTCCAGAATCACCCCACTCCCAAGGCAGCCAGGACTAGACAGAGGCCCAGCTGACAATGGGATGCAGAGCATGAGTCTTTTGCATTCTGCCTCCAGACATTCCTGTGTTTGGAAATGTGAGACTTGACCCCATGTCTTCAATCAACAGTGTCGACCCCTGACACCAGTCCTGCCCTATCATTGTTACCCTTTATTCCCAGAACTCTCTCCTGGAATGCTTACATGGTTTCTTCCCTGTCTCTCTCTCCCTTCCATAAAACCCCAGCATAAACCTACCTTGCCTTAAGTCAATCTGGGTTTCTGAAAATTCATTCTGTTGAAGGTTTAGGACTCTGTTTGAATCTGATCCAATGGTGATGGTTGTTCCCCCCCCCTTCAAGTGTGTCCAGATGGCTTCTATGGAACAAGCTGCCAGCAGCAGTGTCTGTGTCAAAATGGTGGAACCTGTGATCCTGTAACTGGGCGTTGCAAATGCCCTGAAGGATGGATTGGATTGGCCTGTGAGCTGGGTAAGAATACACTTGTCAGTCCATTCAGCTAGCCTCCCTCTTAGGAGGAGGGATAGGGCAGACACACAAGCTGAACTCTGAAAATCTGTTTTTGAGAGTCCAGTTTGGCTTTAAAAGAGGAGCAGAATTTTTTTAAAAAGATGCCAACTGTTGTTCAATATGTGGAATTCAGCAGATGTATTTATGCATTTGCTTGATTTGATAGCTCTTTCCCAACCCTGGTGCAGTGTGGGTAATATGTTAAAATCATTAAAATCCCAATTAAAATGGATTAGACCATCTTCATCTCTCAAAAGTGGCAGTTTGAAGTGCGAGGACTCTAATCTGGGAGAACCGGGCTTGATTCCCCACTCCTCCACTAGCAGCTGCTGGATGACCTTGGGCAAGCCATAGTTCTGTCAGAGCTGTTCTTGAAAGAGCAGCTTCTGTCAGAGCTCTCTCAGCCCCGCCTACCTCACAGGGTGTCTGTTGTGGGGAGGGGAAGGGAAAGGAGATTGTCAACTGCTCTGAGACTCCAAGTGAAGGGCGGGTTATAAATCCAATCTCTTCTTCTTCTTCTCTTCTTCTATCCTTGCAAGATGAATGCTGAAAGTCTATATACACCATGTGCCTTCTCTGAACGCATCTTTTCCCTTAGAGTGTGCCCAAGGAAAATACGGGATGGACTGCAAGCAAAGCTGCGACTGCCTAAATGGAGGGTTGTGCAAGCGGCAGACAGGGCATTGCCTTTGCCGCACTGGCTGGACAGGAGAGAAGTGCCAAAGAAGGAGACCCCCCTGATGGCCCAAGGCCAATCAGGAACGGATTACAACTCCCAGGAGAAAGACTACACCAGGCACCGAAGGTCACACAGAGATAACAGAAACACAGGAGATGGAGCAGAAATGAAAGTTAGCATTCCAGAATCACCCCACTCCCAAGGCAGCCAGGACTAGACAGAGGCCCAGCTGACAATGGGATGCAGAGCATGAGTCTTTTGCATTCTGCCTCCAGACATTCCTGTGTTTGGAAATGTGAGACTTGACCCCATGTCTTCAATCAACAGTGTCGACCCCTGACACCAGTCCTGCCCTATCATTGTTACCCTTTATTCCCAGAACTCTCTCCTGGAATGCTTACATGGTTTCTTCCCTGTCTCTCTCTCCCTTCCATAAAACCCCAGCATAAACCTACCTTGCCTTAAGTCAATCTGGGTTTCTGAAAATTCATTCTGTTGAAGGTTTAGGACTCTGTTTGAATCTGATCCAATGGTGATGGTTGTTCCCCCCCCCTTCAAGTGTGTCCAGATGGCTTCTATGGAACAAGCTGCCAGCAGCAGTGTCTGTGTCAAAATGGTGGAACCTGTGATCCTGTAACTGGGCGTTGCAAATGCCCTGAAGGATGGATTGGATTGGCCTGTGAGCTGGGTAAGAATACACTTGTCAGTCCATTCAGCTAGCCTCCCTCTTAGGAGGAGGGATAGGGCAGACACACAAGCTGAACTCTGAAAATCTGTTTTTGAGAGTCCAGTTTGGCTTTAAAAGAGGAGCAGAATTTTTTTAAAAAGATGCCAACTGTTGTTCAATATGTGGAATTCAGCAGATGTATTTATGCATTTGCTTGATTTGATAGCTCTTTCCCAACCCTGGTGCAGTGTGGGTAATATGTTAAAATCATTAAAATCCCAATTAAAATGGATTAGACCATCTTCATCTCTCAAAAGTGGCAGTTTGAAGTGCGAGGACTCTAATCTGGGAGAACCGGGCTTGATTCCCCACTCCTCCACTAGCAGCTGCTGGATGACCTTGGGCAAGCCATAGTTCTGTCAGAGCTGTTCTTGAAAGAGCAGCTTCTGTCAGAGCTCTCTCAGCCCCGCCTACCTCACAGGGTGTCTGTTGTGGGGAGGGGAAGGGAAAGGAGATTGTCAACTGCTCTGAGACTCCAAGTGAAGGGCGGGTTATAAATCCAATCTCTTCTTCTTCTTCTCTTCTTCTATCCTTGCAAGATGAATGCTGAAAGTCTATATACACCATGTGCCTTCTCTGAACGCATCTTTTCCCTTAGAGTGTGCCCAAGGAAAATACGGGATGGACTGCAAGCAAAGCTGCGACTGCCTAAATGGAGGGTTGTGCAAGCGGCAGACAGGGCATTGCCTTTGCCGCACTGGCTGGACAGGAGAGAAGTGCCAAAGCAGTAAGTCAAAACATGCTGGGGTGCTCGGGGTCTAATGACACGTTCTGTAGGCAATCTGTGAATGGATTTCCTGGTGTGTTTCGTTCTCACTTGAAGACAGCACCTGTATTGGACTGGCGCATCAGTTCTGCAGGAAGGAGCATTTAACCTTCTCTCCTGCTTGACCTACATTTTCCTGATCTCAATCCCTTCCAACACCATGCTGGGGAAGCAAAGAACAACTTGGGGCCAATTTAGGTAGGAAAATGATCCCTAACAAATAAACAGATGGCCTTCGAAGTGTGTCAAGCATGCACACATCGATTGGTAAAGAGTTTTGAAATGGGAAGTGCAACAGCTTCCTAATCTCCTAGTTCCCTTTGGAAATAAGAACAGGGAAATCAAAACTCCAAGATCCAGAGAGGAATTCTGATCAGGAGGCACTGGGAAGCATCCTTCATATGATGAGAGGCAGGAGTTTCTAATCAATGCAGGCACAGAACAAGACTACGAGAGTTTGCACCGAGTTTTAAGAAATTAACATTTTCAGGAAATTATATAGAACGGAAACGATCTACAAAATAGCAGGACTGGTGCTACAAGGACAGAACATTTGAAAGCGTGCTAAATGAGAATGCTCCTGAATTTAGATGCCTCCCTGGACTGAGATCTGTCCAGCGGGGGACAGGACCCAAAAGGAGTTCTGAGCACTTCTTCTAATGTTTGCTAGAATTTTCCAGATGCAAATTACAACTGGCATCACCCTAGTCTGGTTTCAATTACCCTTCCCTTTATGGAAAACGCCGGGACTTGAGCTCTCGAAGGCCAGCCGCTCTACCTTCCTTTTACCATCTCTCAATGTTTGCCTTGGATCATCACCATTTGCTCCTTCTGTCAGAGGTGAGAGCCAGGTAACGAGGCCCAAGTGGACTTGGCATGCCCTTGGGGCAACCTCACGTGCTGCAACACGAGCCATGCTGCTTGGTTTACTGCCTGTCCCATTAGGGGACTTGCAACCACTGGGAATTTTGCCAAACCTCCAAGCTAGCCCCATTTTTATTTTTTTTTTGCGCAGCATTTCCATTCTATATTGGAGGGCTAAGGACTGGTGCCAAGTCCTTGGAGGTCTTTGGGCAAAGGGCCAGATTTTCACCCAGCAAATGTGCACGGTTTGAGTTTCTTCCACACTTTCCCCTAAACTTTCTCTGCTGGTCTCCTGAGTGCCAGGAAGGTTGATGAGGAGGGACTGTGTCAGGTCTGCAGCTAGTAGGGCTGGTTCCAAGTTTTGAGCGGCCTTGGGCAGAGAATTTCCAGGGCAATGTGCACGGTTTGAGTTTCTTCCACACTTTCCCCTAAACTTTCTCTGCTGGTCTCCTGAGTGCCAGGAAGGTTGATGAGGAGGGACTGTGTCAGGTCTGCAGCTAGTAGGGCTGGTTCCAAGTTTTGAGCGGCCTTGGGCAGAGAATTTCCAGGGCTCCCTCCCCTCTTCTATTCACCCCCAGACCCCCACACATGCCCTCCTTCCTTTTCCCTCACTCACATGCCTCCTTCCTGCCTGTGTGTCCTTTTCCTGATCAGTTGTGAGCTCTCCCATTGCCCATGCTCACTACTGCCTGCAACCCTTTTCCCGGTGGCTAGGGATGGGCATGAACCAGAAAAATGAAGTCCGTGTTGGTTCATGGCCGAACCACAAACTGAACCACGAACCAAACTGGGAGGTTCATTCACGAACCGAAGTGACTTGTGGTTCGTGACCTTGCAAACCCCATTGAAAAACAGTCCCTTTAAACAAAGTTTGCAGAAAGCCCGAAATACAGCTAAGCTACAGGGAGCAGCCTGCTTCCTCTGCTCAGCTGTTTTGGGCTGTCTTGTGGAGTCCCTTTAAACCTCTGCTTTCTGCTGTATCCATGAACCACCACGAACCTCCACGAACTGCTTTAAAAGACCCATCATGAACTTCGGTTCACAAATCACGAACAAAGCAAAATTCTTGACAAATTTTGGTTCGTGGTTTGGTTTGGCATTTCCATTCTATATTGGAGGGCTAAGGACTGGTGCCAAGTCCTCGGAGGTCTTTGGACAAAGGGCCAGATTTTCACCCAGCAAATGTGCACGGTTTGAGTTTCTTCCACACTTTCCCCTAAACTTTCTCTGCTGGTCTCCTGAGTGCCAGGAAGGTTGATGAGGAGGGACTGTGTCAGGTCTGCAGCTAGTAGGGCTGGTTCCAAGTTTTGAGCGGCCTTGGGCAGAGAATTTCCAGGGCTCCCTCCCCTCTTCTATTCACCCCCAGACCCCCACACATGCCCTCCTTCCTTTTCCCTCACTCACATGCCTCCTTCCTGCCTGTGTGTCCTTTTCCTGATCAGTTGTGAGCTCTCCCATTGCCCATGCTCACTACTGCCTGCAACCCTTTTCCCGGTGGCTAGGGATGGGCATGAACCAGAAAAATGAAGTCCGTGTTGGTTCATGGCCGAACCACAAACTGAACCACGAACCAAACTGGGAGGTTCATTCACGAACCGAAGTGACTTGTGGTTCGTGACCTTGCAAACCCCATTGAAAAACAGTCCCTTTAAACAAAGTTTGCAGAAAGCCCGAAATACAGCTAAGCTACAGGGAGCAGCCTGCTTCCTCTGCTCAGCTGTTTTGGGCTGTCTTGTGGAGTCCCTTTAAACCTCTGCTTTCTGCTGTATCCATGAACCACCACGAACCTCCACGAACTGCTTTAAAAGACCCATCATGAACTTCGGTTCACAAATCACGAACAAAGCAAAATTCTTGACAAATTTTGGTTCGTGGTTTGGTTTGTGACCATCCCTACCAGTGGCACTGGGCACTGGGTGTAGCTGGGAGCACAGTGGAACACAAGCAGATAAGTTGGGGAGGGGAGTCAGTGGGCCCAGTCAGAATGTCCTGTGCCCTGGCAGCTGCCCTACCTCAGGGTATGCTGATGCTGGCTCTGCACCTGGGTTAGGCAGGCTGTTCAAATACTCCTGGCTCCGCAGTACAAGCCTGACCTGGCCATCTGTCAATCTCTACAAACCTTTTCTCACACATTCCCACAGTTCTTTATCAAACATTCTCAGAGCAGTGAAAGGTGGAAGGGTGAGAACTCTGTAATGGGGCAGAGAAGAGAAAAGCAAGTGGACACAAGTGTGTCTCCCTACACATACACACAAACCTCTTCTCAAAGATAGGCACAGCCAGGGCTATTTTTGGGCAGGAACGCACAGGAATGGAGTTCCGGCTGGCTCCCGAGTTGGCCACGCCCAGCAGGAACTCATTAGCATAATAGGCCACACCCAACAGCAGAAACTCATTAGGATTGGCTACATTGGGGGTGTGTGGCCTAACATGCAAAGGAGTTCCTGCTACAAAAAAAGCCCTGGGTTTTGACAACAAACAAGGTAAACAGAATAAGAAGCAAAAGGTGGGTGTGGCTGGATGACCACACTTCTGGCAACACGGGGCTGCGGCCTAATATGCTAATTAGCTGCGGTGTCAGGGGTGTGGCCTAATATGCTAATGAGTTTCTGCTGTTGGGTGTGGCCTATTATGCTAATGAGTTCCTGCTGGGCTTTTTCTACAAAAAGAGCCCTGCCTATGGGTGAAATGTCTGCTACATCCTTTCAAGATGAAGGAAACCCGAACAAAAACCTGGTATGAGTGCATGGTCCTGGTTAAAAGATGCTTTATTTTTTATTTTATTTGTTTTTGTTTTTAAAATGTTTATTAAGATCAAGTATAACTTATAACGTATTCAATAACAGCAAAACAGTATGCAAAAGCCCTGAGAATCCAAAATTACAAACCAGCCAATTAATCACAGACAAAGTTTTCAACATACATCAACAGTTATAACATAATAACATAGTAATTTAGTATCAGATCCGTTCCCATTTATAAAAACGACTTTTGAACTATAAATCCCAATGAATGGAGTCATGTCTAAAATACAACAAGTTCGGGAGTCTGGTACTCTGAACAACAAGATGCTTTATAAAGCTGGAAGTGGTCTTATTGGCCAACTTTTTCAGATCTGGGACCCGATAAACAGGCCAGGCAGAGGACTGGCCGTTTTATCTGTCTGAGCCATGTTGCAACTGACATCCAAATCAGAATGTATTTTGAGAAATTCTATCAGCAAAAAAACCTGCACAAGCATCTGAACTAACTTCCTATTTTTGGGACAGTGAAGACTGAGATTTAGGAGTCCACGGATGCTAGGATGTCTTAAACAATCGGGATGGTCCTGAATTGGCTAATGCAATGATCGCTGAGAAGAAGCATTTTTTTTTTGCTATTTTCCTCACTGCTTCACAGGTCTTCCAGTGAGCTCTGTAGGATGTTCTGTCAGATTCAGTATGGGTTTTCCACCAATGTTGCTCTAGACAGCGCCTGACCCCCTTCAAGTCACCCAGCTACATCTATGGGGCCAGGTTCTGCTGTAAAGGCAGGAGAGGCCTTGTCAGTAGCTTCTAGAAGCTTCACATTCCAAGCTCCCACCACAACCTTGACATAACATGGAATCCTCACCACCACTGAGTGACTGTAGTTGGTGCGCCTCTCAGCATGGGTGTAAAGGAAGGCAGGAGGCAGCGAGCGCTGACCCCCTGTACATGTCAACTAGCAGTAGGTTCTTCCAGAGGACAGCAAAAAGTATGGCGTTTCTACAGAGGCCATGGCCCAATGGTGGGATCCACCTGAAGGTTCCAACCAATGGGCAGAAGACCACTTCTACGGGGCATCTTGCCTAACTTCCTGTTCAAAACAGGAAGTGCTAACTAGAGCATTCCCAAAAGGTGCTGGAGGTCTCCGTGCTCCCGCTCCAGCAAAGGACCCCTTTCTCCCTGATAATTGGTTTTGTTGTCAAACTGTTAGGAAGTCTCTCCTAGTTTTCCAGCAAATCCTACTGTCTTGTAACAAGTCCTCAGATCCTTTGAAGTTCTTTGTGTTAGTTGCCAAGGAGCATAGAGCGACTGGCCAACAGTACCACAGTTAACATGCTTAATTTTGCTTAATTAGCAAACCGTTTGCATAAAAATTAGTCTGCCTGGATTTGGGGAGCCCAATCCTTACGAAGAGCGCTCGATCGGGCTTTGCTGCCGCTTCAGACTTCAGCCTCCTTCGGTGAGGACAGAAGCAACAGCAAACTCATGACTATGGGGTTTGTCTCGCTAAATACCCTGGACTGTGGTGAGATTGTCCTGGCATCCGAAGCCTCCCGACAGTGGCCAGGAATAACACTTCCAATAAAGTCTGGCTCCATGCAAGGGAGAGCTTTTCACACCCGAATACGTCCAGAGGGAGAGCTCTTTTATGAAAAGCGTGGCGTGATTCGCATTACTCGTAGCTTCCTCTCTTTCTTCCCTAGTCAGCACTCCCAATCCCTCTGGATGCCAAAAAACATTAAAAAAACCCTTGGACCTTTTATCTGGCACCGTTTCCACTGAAAATACTCTGCTCCTAAGTTTCTGTTGGAGCAAAGGGACCTCTTCTGCTTGCTTTCGGCTACAGGCTTGGTGGTGGTGAAGGAAGAAACTCTGGTCGATGGTAAATGGTAAACACAATTTGAGACATCCCTACCTTCAACAAAGAGATGTTTCCTTCTACAAGGAACTATTTGTTTTCAAAAGCTACTTTGGGAGATCCAAGTGCAAGTAGATAAGAAAGCACCCTTCTCCTTCAGTGGGGGAAGTCATCCAAACTGGTTAGGCGACGCCTCCTCTCGCTCCAGGCAGGGCTATGCAAATTTGTGTGGATTGTATTGGCTCAGAGCGAGGCTGACCCTCCCATTTCAAGCATCCAGCAGGACGCTTGAGCCTAGCTCCACTTTCTTGGAGGCTCTTGCGCCTTATTGGTCTGGATGATGAAAAAGCCTTGAAGAAAGGACCCATTGCTGGTCTTAAAAAAGAAAAAAGGGACCGTTGAGACTAGCCTCTCCCGCTGGAAGTTCTGGGCATTGGAGACTGGCCAATAGCAAGCCACTGTCAGTGCTGACAGACCCAAAGCTTCAGGTCATTCTACCGCCGGTCCCCGACTTCACAGGAACAGCCTGGCAGAGATCTACTCGGTCTGAGTCTAGACTAGGGTTCCCAAGTACTTACCGCGATCCGGCGGGGGGCACATGCTCCCCGGCCGGAACATTCCTCCCTGTAACGCACCATGCAGTCGCCAGGAAGTGACACTGGGCGACGCTCTGACAATGGGGCTGAAAACTCGACGGTACCATCGAGTTTCCAGCCCCATTGCCAGAGCGTCGCCCGGCGTCACTTCCCGGCGACAGCATGGTGCTGCGCGTCTGTTGTCCGCGCGGGAATGGTCCTGGGAAGATGTATGTGTCCCCCGCCGAATCACGGTAAGTACTTGGTAAGCCTGGTCTAGACCCACTTTCTTGGAGTCTCTTACCTTGTTGGTATGGAAGACGGAAAGGCTTCAAGGAAGGGCCCCACTGCCAGTCTTAGAAGGAACAGGGGGACAGTTGAGACAGGCCTCTCCCGCCTGAGGCTTCGGGCATCGGAGACTGGCCAACAATGGATGCATCTGCAGCAATAGGGGATGCTGTCAATGCTAGCAGACCTGAGGCTTCAGGTCATTCTGCAGCTGTCCCTCGACTGTGCCGGAAGATCCTGGCAGAGCTCTACTGGGTCCAAACAACCATAAGGAGATTGTAGCGGGTGGCCCACCCCATAGCTTCCGGGCCTACAGGGACCTCATGGTGCAGTCCAGAAAACCTGCATCCAGTCGTCTCTGTAATGGTACGTGGCTGACATTCAAAAGTGGGCCAGTATTAAAAAGCTGGGTCCACTGAAACTTACTTACAAAGACATCATTCCCTTTCTACACAAAGGCTGGAATCAGGTTCTGAGACCGGATACCTTCAAAAACAGGCTGCAGCTATGGCCTCTATGCTGGACTGCAAAAGATTGTGTGATTTTTCGCTTCTTGTATGCTGTGATGTTTCTTCTTCAGCCATACGTTCACAGCACCTTTTGGCAATCTGCACTGTTCCCTCCCCCCTCCTCCCCCCATTCGTCCTTCCTCCATGGCTATTGTTTCCCTGTATTGCATCTTACCTTCTATGAGAGTGAGAGCTGATCAACTCTGTCCATGTCCCATTCATCCACTCTTCTCACGGGTCTCCTAAGAACCTGGAAAGTAGCCAGGAAGGGTATATCAGGGAGCCACCCAAACCTCAAACTTGTGCAAACTTCATTTTCTGCTTTCCTGGCCAGATGCACAATTACAACGTGGTGTTTATTTATTATTTATTTCAGTACATTTATCTTGCTTTTCTCCCCGGAGGGGGACCCAAAGCGAGTAACGAACTAGGAGATCTGAAAATACAGTTTTGTTCAAGACATGTAGGTCAGAGGAGGAAAGAAAGGAAGAAAACTCAGTTTAAATCAGCAAAAAGAAAACAAACAAACAGTACAACACAGTACATCATGTCCTGGCCTAATCCTGGATCCATTGGCTCAGCTGACTCAGCCTCAGATGGCAAGACACAGGCAAACAACCAAAGGCCAAAAAGCCCTCAGCTTTTGCCAAAGGCTTGTGCCTCTGGTCATATCCAGGGGTAATTTCCTGAAGGAGCGGAGCTCCGGCAGTAAAGAGCCCAGGGGGCGGGCACATGCAACAAGCCCCACCCCCTGCTCCAGCAGACCTCAGTCAGAGCAAGAAGCAGCCAGGTAAGTTGCAGAGCTCCCTTCGGCCCCCCCGGTCCAAAGCAGTCCAGTGGCACCTCTAAGACCAAGTTTTATTCAGGTACAAGCTCTCCCTCCTCTGTGAGGGCAGATCTGCATGCCCCCCCCCAATAGCTAGCAATCCAAAACCATCCAGTGGAGCCTGAGCGGTGGGTGTTGCCTTCTGATGCACTTCCAGTGATGTCAGGGGGTGTGGCATATGCAATTAAGTTATGCTAATGACGTATGCTAATGAGCTCCTGCACCTCTTTTTCTATGAAACGACCCCTGGTCATATCCATGCTAAAGCCCTCCAAAGGAATTGAAAAGGAACAGTTGCTCTGACAGATGCTGTGTAGCTGCCATAAAGGCATCCTCCACCTCCTTCCACCTTCTGGGATTTTGGGCTGTCTCCACGTGGATGGAACTGCCTTGAAATCCAGAGGACAGGTGGACACACTTGCAAAACAGTCTTGACTTTGTTCAGAATGTTATGAAACATTTCATCCGCCCCAGTGGACTTCTGAGCAGCCGAGGTGGATGGCAGATTTTGATATTTCTAGTAACGTGCCACGTGTATTTGTATTTAAACCCCCCCCCTCCCCTCCTGGAGTCAGGCCACATCTGTATGATGAAACTCTGCAAGAGAAGGAAAGGGGTTTAAAGTTTAAATGCCTCCCCTTTAGGACGGATAAGAGGAAGTACTTCTTCACCCAAAGAGTGATTAACACATGGAATTCACTGCCACAGGAGGTGGTGGTGGCTACAAGCATGGACGGCTTCAAAAGGGAATTAGATAAGCATATGGAGCAGAGGTCCATCAGTGGCTATTAGCCACAAGGTATAGATAGGGACTCTGGGGCAAGTGATGCTCTGTCATCTTGGTGCTTGGGGGGGGTGTCAACAGTGGGAGGGCTTCTAATGTCCTGGCCCCACTGGTGGACCTCCTGATGGCACCTGGTATTTCTGGCCACTGTGGGATACAGAGTGTTGGACTGGATGGGCCTTTGGCCTGATCCAACATTGGCATCTCTTATGTTCTTAGGGTATCAGTTCGACATGAATATTTTTTGCTGTGCCAGTTCTTAAGGCTGTTGTTGTTCCCTGGTCTATGTTTGTCTGAGGGTGGATTTCTTGTGATTCTGCAGAGGCCAAGCTGCTAAATCCTTCCTTTTCTTTGCAGCTTGCCCAGAGGGGACGTACGGGGACCAGTGTGAGAAGCGGTGCGACTGCGAGAACGGCATCTCGTGCCATCACATCACAGGTGCTTGTGACTGCCCGCCAGGATGGAGAGGACGTCATTGTGAAAAAGGTGAGAGGCCCAGTTCTGCTGGGGCCTGGCAGTCCGGTGAGAGCCAGTTTGGTGTAGAAGAGAAGAAGAAGAGATTGGATTTATACCTCGCCCTTCACTTGGAGTCTCAGAGCGGCTTACAAACTCCTTTCCCTTCCCCTCCCCCCACAAAACCACCTCC